AAGTATGAGAGCTCGTTAAATAGGTACTTGTAAACACCATATAAGTACCTATAATAAAACTATTATATAGTACTTATCATTCATTAATAAAAATTAATTTTATGATATAAATCTATAAGAGATCATCATAATGATGGCGTGTATATACATACACACACGTATTATTTGTCCATAGAATTTCTCTATGAATGTACCCGTTATAATATTATTATTAATTGTATTCGTAAACATAATAATAATAGGTATCTAAGTCTTTGTTGTGCAGTATCTTCGATTCGAATAACCTCATCTTCCAATGATAATATTGTGCTCGAGATAAACACCATCACATATTATAGATTTAGATACCTACTATTATATTACCATAATAATAAATAATAATCAATACATTTTCTCTATGAGAAAACACAGATTTCATTAAAAACTATTCAAAATGTTTTAATCATTGACCTTTATTCAAATATTATATTTTACTTCCATATATAAATTCCGGAATTTAATATGCCTATGACTTATAAGTTTTTGTAATATTTGTTACACCATAGTTTGTATAATGGTGTAACGAGTTTCGATTTGGTAAAATGATGTTAAACAAAAGATGTCTTGTCATAAGGGTTTAAATTATATGTAGACATTTTGGACAATATTTAAAATATAATATGATAAAAACAATTTTTTCTTATCTAAAATTAATACAAATATATTATTAATATTGGAATTATGCTTAAAACGGTATTTGTAAAACAAGAGATAGATACCTATGTTTCTTGAGTAAGTATATTAAAATAATTAAACCTGTTGTACTCATAATATCTTGGGTTTTAAATACTCAGTTATCCTCATAATTACAATTAATATATAATATAATATATCCTGAAACCTCAACATTGTATAGATTTTATATTTAGTACCTACCTATATTTTGTTTTGATTGTAAAGAATATTCAGGCTGGAAAATAATTTTTCAAAGTGAATACTTCCATAGTACTTCCATTCATTTTTATTAAATCAAAAAAGAACAAGTTTCCTTCAACTCATATCACTACATATTTTAAAATGTTAGAACTTCTGTAGGTATACAAATTTCTATAGTATCATATAACTATTTATTGTAGGTTTTTCTATCAATAATAACAGTTGAATTCTAATTTCTTAAATATTAAATGTTCAATGTTCAAAGCCACAACTGGTTGAAATGATTAAAATTAAAAGAGCCGCTTATTCAACACATTATAATTAAAATATTAAATAATTTATAAAATGACCTACAAATTGATAATTGTACATGTAACGTGAGAAATTGAATTAAAAAAGAAATATAACGACGAGCTCGAACATTTAATATCATATTCACTCATCATCAGTGGCGCAGGAACTATTTTTCATAAAGGAGGGGCAAAACATAAAAAACCTAACAACTATTATATATTTATTTGTGTTTGATAAAAGAATACCTTTCTAAATATTTTATTCTTTTAATGTTGATATAGGTAGTATATTATAATATAAGAATTATATAAATGTATTGATATAATTGTAATATAATATAAATATAAATACATTATATTTATACATTTATATATTGAAACAAAATATAAAACATATTTACTTTATACCTAAAGATATATTCAAAAGTAACAATTTTTAATAAATATAAATATATATAAATTGTTACCTGTAAGATTAATACAAATTTCCAAATGTTGATGTCTTAAACTTATGAGCATGTAAAATCATCATATGAGTTAATCTCTTTAAGGTTATTGTGAACCTCACATATGTTTTTAGTCTACTCAATGCACTAAAAGAAGGCTCAGAAGTTGCTGCAGATGCTGGTATTTTTAAAATTAATTTAATTAGTTTGGTGATTTTAGAAAACAAAGAATCTTTTACATTTAAATATTAATTTCTCAAATTATTAATAATATCTGAAATACTAGTGATAGATACTATAGATGGTAACATAATAAGCTGTGCATGAAGCTTATTTATGTCTAAAACCTTACTCATATTATTTAAACAATAAGTAAATTCCTGGTGAGTTTTTGTGTTTTGATCTACAAGTATGTTTTCTAAATTAACCAAGTTTTTTAGACCTTGTTGATTAAAACTTGTTGATCAATTTCATTTATAAAATAGTAAATTATTTCAAACATATCTTTATTCAATTCACATATTGGTGATAATTTTGTAGTAAGGTTATTTGTGTATAGAAGTCGTTTTGGTGTTTATTGGATGCATCTAGTGTCATCAAGTGATTCTAATACATATATTTCAGCATGTAAATTCACAGTATTTAATATTTTTTAAAAATTGTCATTAGTACTGAATGATAGTAATGTTATCTTCAAAGTATCCGCAGCTTCAATTGAATTAAATTCACAAAATTGAGGATTTTGTAATACTTTTGCTAATTGTTCTACAGGATCAATGTATTACAATAGTAAAAAAAAATACATTGTTTTAAATATTTTCACATATCCTCTTAGTATTGATATTCTATCATCTGCTATACAAACACTCCCTGAAAGCATTTCATCTGTTTTTTGAACTCTGCTATAGTTATCTAAAAATCTTATTAAACTTTTAACCCATACAGACCATCTAGTTGGACACAATGGAATTAGATTTTGTTTTATACTACACAATTCAGAAGAATTGTAACATGGCCATGTTGTTTTCATGTACTGCAGTTAGTAGTATGAAACTATGAAGTAACAGTCCTAATTACTGTACGATTTAAAAATATTTAAAAGTTGTAATTCACTTTTATTTAAATAGGTAACAAGTAGGTAATCATTAAATTAAATTATCTTAATTAAATCAGTTTAGTGCCTATAACATATTTTGTAATAAGGTCTATAAATATTCATTAGTGGCATAAGTTGTTGAAATATATTTTCGTAGGAAATAAAAAATTAATATCTAAAAAGTAAAATGAATTATATGTTCAACAAAAATATTGTTTTGTCAAATAGAACCCAGTTTGATTTATATTGATAATTGATATATTATTAATAATTTATATATATTACCATGTATTAATATTTATAACAATTTATTTTACTGGGCATCTGTCAATCTAAGTAGTAATTAATCTTAATCACAACTAATAAAACAAATTTATTTGAAACTTGAATGTATGTCTTAAACTTACCTTGTTGGGTATAAGTTCCTCAATTTTCCTCGGTGTTTTCGGTTTAAAGAAGTCTTTGATATTTGTTAGGGGATTGGAAACAGCCATTGCAGAAACGTGTAACGTGGTTAAACAATTAAAACTTGGTAAATATCACAATATTGAATATATTATATAGTAACAATGTTAATGTAAACTGTTCAAAATTAATAATTATACATTTATACAGTATTGCGCGACAGCGTACACATTTAATAGTCGTAATCAGTAATCACTAATCACCATTCAGAACCTAATCGTAAACGACATAAACTGTAAAAACCTATAAATAGTCTAATGATATCGGAATAATAAACATTATGGTATGTTGTGAGAACACCATTCGGGACTGGTGTAATTTCCCAATATAATTTGATAATGCAGAAGTACTCAGACAGAAAATATCTATAAAAATGACTCAAAATGTTTATATGCATTGATTTTATAATAATAATAATGTTATTATGCACATTTATAAAAATGAGACCAATTTTGAATACGTAAATGTATAAATTAAATGTAATTCACGTTTGTATACCCTTTAATTTTAATGTGGTAGGGGGAAGGCAAAAGTATACTTTTATTTATAAATTGTATCCATTAGAACTCTATTTCTTGAAAACTGACGAATTACCTATCTATAGAACTTGCAAGATTTAATTTATTTAGATTAGTAAAATAATTTTTTAGGGAGAAACTCATCAGATTTTCTAGAATACTAAGATTATGTGGATTGGATTTCTTTACATACTTTAAGGGTTGTCTACATGATTTATTTCCACAGAAGAATATCCAAATAGTGAATTATATGAGTTATGGTATGAATAAGGTTTTTTTACTAAATATTTTCAAAACCATACGAACGCAAGTACCTACACTGTTGTACATTTTTAAAAGGTTCATTATTTTATTAAAAAAAAGGTTAAACTTAATTAATGAAACATACCTAATCTAAGATTATTAAATTTGCTAAATATCAATACATATTTTACCTATACACTTATAATTTTTAAGAGTACAATTATTGAACCAAAATACTACTAAACCAGTTCGATGATGGCAATTGACAAAATATAATACTTTTTAATATTATGAATGAAATGTACAAAATATGTAAAATAAAAAACAAGTGGCCACTGTTGAATGGAGAAAGTTAGTATAAATTTAATATAATTTACACATATAAGCAATGTTAAACCATTGTTAACGAAAAATTATTTGGAGCAAAGTTTGATTATACATATTTTAAAAGGTAATATTTACGATTTTCGTCAAAATTAAATTTTTTATAAAAAAATTGAATGTAAATTTTTTTCAAACACAAAATTAAAATGTCAATAAATATTTCAAAAATAACTCAAACGTTTTGATAATTTGACCACGTCTAGAAAATGCTAAACTAAGTTTTCTATCAAAATTTTACATATCCATGCATATTTTCCCAAAATAATAAAAGCATTATTTTCATACAATTTCCCCTTTTTTTTCGGCTTTGCTCAGTTGTTAAAAAATAACAAAAGATAATATTTAATTGTTAACGCATTTCACAACTTATAAGCCAGACCTCTGAGTATTTGCCTAGTTTCTCAATAGGCTACTCCATTCTTGTTTATAACTCATTTATGTCACCTCATTCTTATTTGCCATACACATGCACATTGCATATTTATACCTGTAATTTACTCTAATTTTAAAATGAATAAATATTTACATTGAATCTAAAAATAATATGTAAAATTCATTCAAGTTAGTTTGTTTTTCAGGAAAAGATATAATAATATCTTTGTGTAGGATATTTAAAAATATTTTGAACTAAAATAAAAATAACAATATTATTAATAATTCAAGTTATAAATAAGGGTTTGTGATAGTACAGTGGTCCTATCCATTATCTAAAAATATACAATTGTACATTTAAACAAATAGAAAATTATTATTATTGTTTGGGTCCTCTTTTTTGACCTTTTTTACCACCGGTAATTTGTTTCTCCTTGGTTTTGTTACTCAGCAAAGGATGCAACTCTGAAATTAATAAAACATTATTATTTTACTTAAAACCACACAATGTAATATAAATGTATAAAAGGGGTGTACGAGTGCTTCAATGAGTTTTAACATTGGCTACGCTAATTATAATTCGGATAATAAAGAGTTTGTATAACAGAGGTTTAAATAATCAGGGTTCTACTGTATTGAAATCAAAATTTATTTTATTTTAATATAGCTCAGTCTATATTGTTTTTAAACAATGTGCGTTTCTATGACAATAATAATTGTTTAAAAAAAATTAAATATTAACAAAAATAAATAAAAATTATTGTCCATGACAACCGAGATTTTAATTTGTCAATCTTTTTTAACCTAAAGAACCAGGTTTTCCTCATTATCTCGAATATTAATAAAAATTTCAAAAAATGACATCTTTAAAGTACCAACTAGAGAATATTTCCTTCCAGAAAAGGTGCTATAATTAATAAACGGAGTAAGCTTTCTGGTAAAAAAAGTGTTCACTTCAAAAAAAAAAATATTATTGTAAAATCAATACATTATACATTCTTTACTCGCTCAGAATCTAAATGTTTTCTAAAAAAATTTCTCTAAAAAGTAAAAATAATTTTTTTAAATATAATTGTTAATAATGTACTGATAAACTAAAAGAAAAACTTGATACCTTAATCACTTCATAGGAGCAGTAGTGTAGCTATTACAGGGCAAGGTGGGACAGTGTCTAAGGGCTACAGAGTTCAAGGGGCCTTGGACTATTTTAAAATTACTTTCTTAAAATAATTGCAAATTTTGATGTATTTAAAAATGAATCTTTTAAATCTTATTTGGTAATTCCAGTCACAATCACTATTTAAATAGAATAATAATTCACACGACAATGTTTATTATTTTCATTTGTGGTTCCATAGTAAGTATTTACACTTAAAAAAACAATGTTACGTGTAGGTATATTTCGAATTTTCATAAAGATTATATTAGTATATAGAGGGCCTTGTTTTTTAATTTCCCCGAGGCCTTTTCAATCTAGTTATGCCACTGCATAGAGGAGAGTCACCTATATTTAACCATTTTTGATATTTTAAAAAACTAGTCTTATTATTACATAATTATTGTATAAATTGATCTAAATTATCTAAGTTTGCAAGATTTTATGACACGACTCAAGGTAAGTTAAAGAAAAGCATATAAAATAAAACTAACCATCAGTAGTATTATCTAAATGAATATCATATGTACGGCACTTAGAAGAAGACGATGAAACTGGAGGGGGTGGCATATCTGGTTCAGGGTCTTCAATTTCTGGAGTAATTGGCAAAAATAAGAGAGCATCCTTGATATCATCAATAGTGCCTTCTTCGTCAGAACTACAAAATGCTGCTACAGGTTCAGCATTTTCTACATCAACCTAAAAACATATTATTTGCTAATAAAAATGAATTTATAATTTATATTTTATTAGGAATTTTCTTTTCACTCGGAAAAAATAAATCTACAACAAACAAAAATTATTATAATAATTGATTTTAAAAATTAAAATAATAAGGAATTAATTTAAAATCTCAAAATTGATTTTTCTTTTTAAAAAAATCTTTAAATATTAAACACCTATTAAAAAAGTTTGAAATGGAAAAAATTGTTTTAAACTATATTAATAATATTTCAATGATAACTATTGAAAATATTTCCTATTACTTGGAATTCACTTTTAACAATTTTTACTATCTCTAAATAGTATAAAATAAAGTCGCTATTTCTGTCTGTCTGTGCACTTGGTTATTCTAAACTATGCAACAGATTTTGTTATGGTATTAAGTATTCACTATCATTTAGAGAATTTCTTCTGAAAAGTGTATATATATAATATATGTGGAATCCTCCCTAAGAGGAGTCTCACATTGAGTAATTGGTATTTTTGTAATTAATATAGAATAATTTTTGTTGATTTATGGATTGCCTTGGTGATTATAGATGAAATAAAAAAAAAGTTAAAACAAACAAAATAAAAAAATAATTAAATGTAAGGGCTGTAATAGTTTTTGCAAGGATGTGCACAACGAACAATAGTCACTAAGAAATTGATTACACAGTTCACTGTGTCTTTTGGCATGAGAAACTGCAAGTAAAACCACTAGTATCCAAAAAATGATACATTCAACATATTTTCATACACCAACCTCGAAATCTTCATCGCATCGTTGTACATCTTTAGTAATAGATTTATCTTCATCTTCTAGGTCAAATTCAGACTCTCTTTCTTCATACTCAACATTTTCATCAAGTTCTTTAAAATCGGGTGCAAACGCTGACCAATTTTCAACTTGATTTTGTGCCCACACAGACACTAAACCACTGGATATACTAGTTATTATTGCTCGTACTGGATGCCACTTTATAGTAAAAAAAAAAAAAAAAAACATTACACTTATTAAATCCCTGACATTTTTGTATTTTGTATAATTTTAATTCTTACAACAACATCCAGCAGAAGTTCTCCTTTTGTTCCATGTAATATTTTAACCAAATTTCCAATACTTTTTTCCCAAATATATAACGCATGTTGTCGAGCTGAACCTGCACAAATATATTCACCATCACCGGAAAAACAACACTTCTTCCACATTGTTCTACAAATCATTAATTAGATGTTAAAAACAAGGAATATTAAAGCAACATTCAGAGTAATCAGTGTATTCAAATTGACAGTAACAACAAAAATGAAAAGAAACTATCAATCATTTTAGATAAAAAAAGTATTTAAAAAGTACTTAAATCTTGTTATTACCTTTGATATTATTATTTACTATTGATTTTAGTCCTTATTTGTAATTGTTACCATTGGTCATTGTACTTCTAACCTGTACATTCATAAAGTAAATAATAACTTACTTGTTAACCAAGTCTTGGAGTTTTTGAATGGGTTCTGTATCTCCATCCCTGCCTTTATCCAAAACATGTTTGGCGTCATATACCCTGATCACACGATCTGAACAATTGAGTAAAAAGCAATCTCCCCTCCTTGCAAATTCAATACTCTTTATACCAGTCATTCCGGTAGATACTTTAAATGAAGCTTTGAGATCGAGATCAGGACAAGTCAAAACTAATATTTTACCACGTGCATTTCCTGTATAGATGTACTGTCCACGGCGATCAAATGAAGCAACTATCATTAGATCAGACTGTAATTTACCATAATAGTTTTTATATTCTATGTAATATATAACTTATGAAGTTATGAATAAAATAAAATTAAAACTAGTATTTAACAGACTTCTTCTCCTAATGGCACTAATTTATGATTTCCCTCAGTGTCCACGAGCACAGCTGCATGTTTCATCGGACAAACAAGAAACAGATTTTTCTTTCTAGGATGATACTGCACTTTTAATACAGGGGATGGAAATTTGTACATTTCTTCTCTTTCGCCAGTTAATATGTCCCAAGTGCAAACATTATTGTCAGTAGATGCACTTAATATTTTATGCGCATTCCTTGACCAACTAAAAATTGAATTTCATTAGTATATTATATTTATGGATGAGACTATATAGAATCATTTATAGTAATTCAGTCTAGTCTTAAATTCTTAATCCATTTTTATTTAACATTGTTTTATCAATCATCATAATGATGAGACTAATAACAATTGTTACAGGCTAATATGTAATACAAATACTTGTGTGGGCTTCAATATGATTAACAAGAATTTTATCACAATTTAAGAATACATACATGACAAAATATAATTAGTTTTCTTTTACTGTGCCAGTGTGCCACATTAAATTGTGTACAAACGCAATTATATTAGTAGTTCAAACTTCAAAACAATTTAAATTTGAAAAAGGAACAAACCTTAAAGAACAAACCGGATGCATATGAGCTGTGATAATTTTGGCAATTCCTCTGGTTAAAAAATCCCAAATCACAATACGACCATCATTGCAACCCACTGCTAAGAGAGTACCATATTTATTGAACACACATGTTACAGCTAATGATATACTATCAAGAACTCCATCAAATTCCTATAAAAATAAAAATATTAAATTATTTATTTATTAAATCAAAAATAAAATAGATAACAACATTTAAAAAGAAAACTTATTCTAATGGATTTAGAATTGAATAAGAAAATACTACTATTTATTAAATAATACCTACTACTATTTTATTATAAAATTATATTCAAACAATTTAATTTTCAACAACAAAAATAAATAAATAAGTGAAATTACCTCAGGATAATTTTGTCCAAATGATTCTGTAAAATAAAACAATTCAATAACTTTTCACATAAATATATAGATATATATTTATTTAAAGTTGTAGTTTAAAAAATATACAATGTACAAATTGTTTACATATAGATATACAACATTTATATAGTTAATAGGTAGTACGTTTGAAAATCCCGGAAAAAGAAACCAAAATTTTAACATAAATAATATAATATATTATTTTAATAATACAATAATTTTGAAAAATATATTAAAATAATAAAAATATAAAAACGAATTGGTTTGTAATTTAAATTTTATCTGAACATACAGATAACAAAATCTCTGTTTCTTTATTTGATTTCCTAATTTCCATGGTTCTAATTGTACAGTTTGTAAGCCACAATACAATATGACACATAACAGAAACAGTCAGCACATTACCAGTATATTTTTATACAACCTTAATAATCCCCCCGTTTCAACTATTTATCTTTACAGATAACTTATAACTTGCAGCCGATTATATTGTACTGTTATTTTTTATTTTTGAAAGCAAAAGCATTTTAGCATTTCTCCTGGAAATATCTAATAGTAAACAATTATCTATATACCTATAACATATTATTTTCTAAAATATTGTAAAATAAATAAATAATTTAATGATTTTTTCCTTTAGTTTTTTTCTCCATGCACCATGTTTAAGTAGCAATTAAATAATTAATTACTGTTTAAACAATTACTTTAAATTAATTGCAATCGTTAGAAATTTTACCTTTCATAAGGTAAATACTGTAATACTATTATTGTAAACCAATATAATATTAAAATTTGTAACATATTTGTATAACGAAAACAAGAATTATTTTATTAATTATTGTCAGCTTTTACCTTTGCAACATACAGATACTTGTAACTTACCAAGCAATTCTAAATTCATTTTGGAGATAAAACATAAATTTGATCAGGTACAATATAAGTCTTGAAGAAGTTAACTTGCAGTTAAACTAAAAATGCATATTATACAGTTAATAAACAAATTAAAATAACAAACAGGTTAGTATAATTACATTTATTATAACTATTGAGATAAAATATTTTTAGTCACTGATATATTTTAATAAATATTATACATATTTTATTAATCTTTCTTCTCTAAACATACCAATCATAACAAGTATAAACTTAAAAACAACTATTATAATTATGATAGATGTAGACAGAATGACATTCCAATTTGTTTGAATAGGGTATAATTTCTATGGTCCACGGGATATTTCGTATTGCAAACTAATAGTCTTCGGATCACACGCTGAATGAACTAAAAACTATACAAACTTATTGCAGTCAAGTTGGTTGAACAACATTAAACAAAATTCAAAACTACATCACACGAATTTACAATGTTATATGAAATATAAATATCAACAAACAAGAACCGCCATTGATAACAAGTATGATCTTGAATCTTGATAAAGGAATCCAAACGTAGTTCAAATATTTTCCGCTAGATAACATTATCTGTAGCACCATGACTAAAAAATATATTGGTTAAATAAATATGTACGATCACAACTTTATGATACGCAGATATCATGACCACTACTAGGAGTAATTTTAAATATTTTAGTTGTCAAGAACTAAAAAGAACAAATTCAAAATAACAAACCAAATTTTTAAATTTATATTTATTATGATTATTGAGTAGACATAATTTTCATGAACATTTAAAATACACATTTTTTAACACGCAATCTTTTCACTTCGAATATTTTGTTTGTTACCCATAGCTTTATTTAATCTTATAAATGTACTCGTGCATACTGAATAGTTTTGAGTTTATTAACTCCACAGTAATGTTAATTTGATTTATAATTTGCTTTAATACTAAATTACTTACTTTTTGTATTATACCTAAAATGAAATAGGTATATGTATAGGTATAAATAGGTATAATAACCTATATGTTTAATATAAACTTTTTGTTACTTATAGTGCGGCCGATTTTCCACACCTAAACGTTGGTAGATATGAGTTCAGTAGAGTCAAACAATTTAAGTACCTGTGTTCAATATTAACAGAAAAAAATGAAACAGAGATGACAAAGAAATAGCATCAAGAATCCTATAAGGAAATAAATACTTTTATGGACTCACAAAAATACTAAGATCACGATCTCTGTCTATAGAAATGAATATACAACTATATATTACCTTAATACGTCTAATTGTCACTTATGGGGCTGAGGTCTGGCCATTAACAAAGACTGAGGAAAGGAAATTACTAGTTTTTGAAAGGAAAATCTTAAGAAAGATTTTTGGACCTGTTAAAGACAAAGAAACGGGAGAGTGGAGAAGAAGAAAAAATGAGGAACTGGTAAGGATGTTTCGGAAACAAAACATCTTAAGCGTAATTAGAAACCGAATACTTTAATGGACTGGACATGCTATGCGAAGCCAGAACCATCTCATAAGAATGATCATGGACGAGAATCCAGTTGGTAAGAGACCACTGGGAAGACCACGATTGAGGTGGGAAGATGTGATAAGAAAAGACGAGGAAACACTGAATGGAGGACGGGATTGGAGAACAAGAGCGGTGGATAGGGAAGGATGGTGGACTGGATGTGTAATTTGGTGGTTTTGATGCCCGGAAAACCCAATAAGAAGAAAAATACACACTGTAATTATATGTACACATTACTGTATAATAATTAAAAACTATAGTTGGTACAGACATTTAAAAACTCGAATTTCTCGAAACTCGAAGTCAAATTTTTTTTCTTAAAATCTCGAAAACCTTGATAAGTCGAAAAAATCATATTTCCTATGAATTTCAACTTATCCGAGGTTCCATTGTATTCGGATGATCTAATTAAGTTCACTTTTGCCATTTGAAATATCCAACTTGCATTTTCCTCAGAACAATGTAGAACTTTTTCACTCAAGTGGGGATATTTTGCAATAAATTTACTTACTACAGACCCCGATTGCCTAGAATACTAGGCAATCTTTTTCTATTGTAAACATCTCACTGTTATCTACCACTGTCTAATATTAACAATATACATATAACAACAATTGTTGTGAAAAATCAAAATATTTATACATTCAATGAGTACGATTCTTTCTCTGTAAGTTAATAAAATATTTGTCTTTAATCAAATTGCTATAAAAATACCTGTATTTTAAAATTATCCAACAGCGTTGTATTGAGTTCTGAAACTTCAAAATGAACACTTTCATTTAGCTCGGATATAGTTTTTAATGTATCATTAAAATTATGCCTGCAAGATTAGTTTGCGTTTCATTCACCATCTCTTCACCATTAAAAATAGTTCCAGACAAACAATCTACTAAACAGTTTTTGTCTGTATCTTCGGTATTGTGGTTATTTGTGAACACCATATTTGAGTGTTTGCCCAGTAAGTACTACTACACCTAAGCTATTTGGTTGAAAATAAATAAATATTTATATGTTAATGTAATGCTAATACAATTTAAATATTAACATATTTAAATACCAATATTTACCTCAATAGGAACATATGACTATATGAGTATTATAACCAACCATCCCTTTAAGATTACTAAACATATTTTTTAGTCAGAATTAAGTTTTCTTATCATAATAAGTATATGTAATATTGTCGTCACAATATGTTTTCATATCAAACAAACGATTTCTTAAAGAGGCATCGGTTATTAAAATTCCTAAAAGACATTATACATATCATACCTATAGGTACTTGAAAAAATGAACTATTCAATTATTATAAACTACACCAGTTTGAAAAGGTAATATTCTATTACTACCATGCACTTTCATATTTTCTATTGTGTTATCCATTTTATTTATCAGGTCATTTTAACATGACTTTTGAACGTATGCTTCGTCTTAAAAATGTATTGAACACTATCTAATTTTGACATAAATAGGTGTACAATAAGTGCATTCAACAATTTGTATTCTATATAATTTTTGTTTTTAACATTCACACTATTTTTTTTATTTGTTCACGTGCATTAACCCACAATTCAATAAACATATTGGTCTTTTGAGAATCTATAAAATCGAATGTTATTATTATTGCTACTGGATAATTTAGATTAACTACCACTTTTATAGGTTTTTACGGCAAACCACGATATTTTTATTTATTTAAAAATAATGAATGTAACACCAATAAAATTACAATATTTTTAATTAATTTTTTAACTGAAACAAATAATATTGCAACGTTTTTCGCGACTGTCGATTGACCCATTACTGCTCAGCCGAGTGTCCGTGTTCGCCTGCTGTTTTTAACAAACGCGAAAATTGCATTGTCAAAAAGTTTTAACCGCGCATAAATGTAACGGATGCGTTTCATTAGACAACGGTTGTAGCGATCCGAGAAATGATATTGAGAAATGGCATTTGGGGGGCGCAGCACGGGTTATTTTTCGTCGCGTAGTTTTAGCACCCCCCCCCCGATATTCAGGCTCTAGTCGCGCCCGTGCGGCGTGCATTACGGTCGGTCCGTGCACGTCAATTCTCATCAGCGTCCCGGCCCCCCCCCCAAATAATATCGCACCGGAAATCACGATATCACGATACACGTTTGTATCAATCACGGTCTATTAATAATTTTCCACGTAGTCGTACTGTACGTACTAAGCGTCGTGTATTATTATTATTATTATTATTTCGAGTACGAACACCGCGTTTGCCAATGCATAAACGAGTTTGAGATTTTGACACTGTTATTATCAATGTAAAAAGTCGTTAGGGGGAAAAAAAACTAGAGTGTGTTTTTACGTTGCATTTAATCGATTCAAATTTAAATGTTTATCTTTTTATCGATACGTAAATAGGCAATCAAACCAAAAACAATGTAATCGGTAACCTGAAGATGGCGGTATACCGAAACCGTGTAGTTACGAAACTATAACTTGAAAATACGTACACTCTTGGTCTGGTATTTTCACAAACGATTTTTATTTCGGACAAAACTATGTATAAATAATAATTTATTGAACAGACGATTTACTATTAATGCCCCCACCGCCGTTTTCTCATTGATCCTAAAATAAATATTTTGTAATCCCACGCGCGTCGCCACTGTATCCTTGAAATCCTTCTGTCCCTGTTACACGTATCCTCTATTCTCACATTTTCGCGGACCGGTTCTAATAATTTTTTTCTACGGCACACATTGCATGCTTCCATCTTGTTCCGGGCCTCGCGAATCGCCTTCAATAATTCTATGGTCGCGTTGGATTTTTGTATTATGTAAACGAACAATCATAGGTATAATTTTTTCATCAATATCCAGCGAAAATTTTGAACGCCCAAAATCGATTTGCACACACCATGCATACAGAATATTACGAGTTTTTGAACGCGGATTTATATTCCCTTGAAAAAGAAAAAATATGTTTTTCACATCAATAATCAATGGGCACATTCGTCAAAATATGCACTTGGGTGTGTGCAAAACAAAATTTAATACCTAATGATTAACAAAATCGATAGTGTTATGAAAATAATAATAATAAACTGATTTTTTCTAGATCGTCGTTTCGGCATTTCGTTGAATTAAAACACTTTGTAAATCGACCAATGTACACAACGGTCACAAAATGCGAAAAAAATAAAAAAAAATACGCGATTTGTTAATTTTAATAGACTTCGAATACAAAACGATAACCCGTTATCACTGGAGGAAAAACGGACCCATTGAACAGTTGTGTAATTTTTTTTTTTTTTTAGTTTAATGCGCAGGACTAGCAAACAATATATGAACGTACGTCATTCACTTTACTCGTATTGTGATAAATAATAATTTTCGCGCTTCATTATCATCAAATGCAAATTATCAAATCGTGGCGGCATTGAATACGGCCGTACGCGACGTACGCACCCAATTATTACAAAACGTATGAAAAAATGTGCACGTATAATTTTTTTAATTATTCTCGGAGTTATTTCGATTCGTACATTCTCAATCGGTCAAAGGTGTAACAAATATGATTTACATGGATGTGTCCCGTTTAACGTCGAAATACGCACCTGTGCGAAAAACATATTTTGTAATATTTTCGACTTTAACAATCCTGTTTCCGCGGTTGCGCATTAAAAACACGTATTCGCGCTCTAATTATAATCTCACCGGTATTAAACAAATTATTTGTAATGCGCGACAAAAAGATAAATTAAGTATTTTTGAACATCATGCCGGTTGATTAGGTGCATCACACCTAATATTATCACACGCGATTGGGTAATATATTTTATTTTAAACCATAACCCCGCTGGCTTTACTGTTAAATAGAGTCGAGGCCCAAACGGTTTTTTCGCGAATTTCGTGCGGGCGAAAATGTTGTTTTTTTTTTTTTTTTGGCAACCCGCGAGTTGCAAAGTTTGAGGCCATAGTTAATGATAAGCAAAAAAAAAAAAAAATATATATATATATAAGTAGGTATTATTTTCGATTTCCGGTCCGAGGTTATGATATATTAAAATCAAACCGCGGTATGTGCAATACGACCTTATAAGTAATGGTAGTGGTACGCGGTAAAAAGAGAGACTCAAAAGAAGAAAAAAAAAACCAATCAATCAATTATTAAATCATTTGTTTGTTTATTTTTCAATGTGTTGGAATATAATTACTGGTACGTAATCGAGTGATCAATAAAATAACAATCCGATAATCGGTAAGACGCACATAATTACATTACGCGAGGCGATTTACTGCAGTAATGTCTTCAATCGGTTTAATACGGGCGGGCGGGTGAAAGTGATTACATCTTATTAAGCCACCTTGCTATATTATGACTGATAAAACAACATAACCGTGATACGTGCGATAACATCACACACACACAAATGTGTAATTAAAATTGTATGTTTATTTATTTTTCGTATTATTGTGTCGTTAAAATTACACACAATATTATTCAAATTAAAACGTTGGAATTTTTTTTTTTTTTTCCGGGTTTCACGCTGTTATAGTATAAGGCCCACGGGCGACGCAGGCGTGTATTATAATTATTTTCGGGCTAGGGTGTTAATGTGGACAGCGGTTTTTTCAAAAGTAAAGGGGACAAGACGTAGCCGAAAAACTACCCAGTTTGTCCTAGATCCGAAACCGTCTCGTCCTCCCGTAAATACGGTACTGACCCCGAGCCCCGAAAATCATCAGAGTCGCCTATATCGCAATAATTATGACGAATACCGCCGCGGGGGAAGGGGTGACAAAATGTGCTGTTTCCCCCCCCCCTTCTATGTGATTTTCAATTGTACACACTTTTATAACGCATAATGACGCACCATTTTACCGTAACAATACGAAATATATTTTCTAGACTAAAACGTTTTGCCGCCTGGTGGTATTTTATCCCGCGGGCGTGCTTGGGCGACGAAGAGTTTAGATTGTTTTCATTGGATTTTAATCCGCGTTTGAAATCCGGAGACAAGGTTTTATTATTTTCCGAAACGATTTTAAACGGCCGGACGCGGAATGTTGCGGCCGCAGCAGGGTTAATATCTTTTCTACGAGTGCGACACGGACGAGGGTTTCGTCTCGAACCTTGCAGGACGTAGGCGGTATACGCGGTTACCGGTCGTTTGACGTCGCAATAACGTAAAACAAAACTCGTCTGTACGCGCACAATAAATAATTAATGGTAATAGCAGTCCTTATGAAATAATGAGAAAAGAATAAAAAAAAAAAACAACGATAATCAATACAAAAGTAAAAACAAAAGTAATTACGATTACCGCCGTCTGCCGCAGACTGATAATTAAACTATTAACTACGCCGACGTTTATTTATTATTACTTTATTAGTTATTCGCGTGAGTCGATTTGTTTTGTTCGTTACCGTCGGGTGCCAGTGTCGTACGGGAAACCGCGGCCGTCGGTGTATGCGACGACGCAATCGGTAAAAAAAAAAATACTGCGACGCGCGCGCGATTTTTCGTCGACGCTGCCGTCCGATATTTATAGACGAATTTTACCTTGAAAAACGAATCGAACGAATTCATTATCGGCCGCCCGATCACATGAGCGCAACACGCTCGACAGTTGACGTCGCGCAGCTATCGCGCCGATGTCGCACGTTGGCGCGTCGTTTCAGATTCTTCCCGATCCGAACGTGAGTAACGAGCACACGACCGCCGACTGAATGCCGAGTCGTTCGCGGACTCGCGAAAGTCACACCCGCCGGCGCCGAGCCGCCAGTTAAATTTTCCGTTTTATTTTTGTCGACCGATAGCGAGAAAAAAAAAAAAACAACAACACGTTCGTTTCTCTTTCTAACAATTCGCATCTCTCTCTCGCTCACTCTCTCTCTCGTTCCGATAACGACAACGAGTGTCGCATCAAAACCCGAATGCGCCGTCGGAATCCGTCCTCAACGGTTTATTATTCTTTTTTTCTCGTGCCAACGTTTTTATGTTCGCCCTCAAACGCTACGCAGGTACTTGTCAGCCATTTATCGGTGCCCAATATTCGCTCGTTTCGCGATAACAATCGGCTCCGGGCACAGACAAAACGCATACTGACTGCCGAATACACAGGCGCCTAAACCCGAAAGAGACCGTCCGGTCGGCCAGTGGCGAAACGTCCCGCACCTGCCCAACGCCGTGATACACTACTGCTATCTGCGTACGTTATCTGCGATCGTACCGCTTTTCGTTTTGGTCGATTACGTTTTTTAATTTCCCCTCCACTCCGCCACTCCTCAATCAGCTATTATCTTGTACGGACATCTACCTACCTATTTTAAATATTGCTGTCCGACGTTCGTCATAACGTACAATACCACAGTATTCTAATGAAATATAGTGTAATACCTAACAATAGTGTTAATAATAATAATAAAACAGTATACTTTTTTCAAACAATTTTCCCGTAAGGGCCGTACGCCAGCAACCGAGTTGAGAGTTTCTTCACCGCGATCGGTACCTACCCAAACTTGTGATATTTTAGTTTTTTTTTTTTTTTTTGAATTTAAATTATTAATTCGAGAACATAAATATTGTTATGTTTAATGTGTACTCGTCATTGTTTTCTGTGCAAATTCAATACGATTTTTTTTTTCTAGAATCATACAGTTTACGTATTTTTTTTTTAGAATAGATACCAACGTGGAGGAAAGTAATGCAGTATTGGTCAGGGTGGAGCGAAAGAGCTCTAGCCATTACGACCAAGTTGACTCTGGATTATATGGCAACAATAGTTTTGAGGACCTTGAGAACGGTAACGTTACAGCAGTTCCTTTCATGGACGAGACGACTTCGTTACCCCAAAATGCTATTCTCATACCATTAACTGGTACAACTCCACCGAACCATCCGGATGTACCATTCGATACCAATGCCTGTAAGTACTTAATTGCTTAATTTGATAATATTATTATACTACCATTATACCAACATTATAATCTACAACTTTTTATAAATTCCAATCAAATAAAAATTAGTATTAGGTAATAGTTATTTTTTTTTTTTTTTGTTATTTTCATTTGCAATATACCTAAACATAATGTATTCTCATACTCTGTTTCCTAGTTGTATCATGGTACTATACTATTTAATTTAATAATTTTTAGATAAAACACTTAAAAGAGGCATTTCACATGCTACTGATAATGTAAACATCGTTTCCCAAGCACGGTCAGAGTTAATATATATTGATAGCACTGCAGGTATTGAAGATGAATTACATATTGTGGAAACACCTGTTTATACATTTATTTTACCAGATTTGTCACTATTAGAAGGTAAAATTAAAAATTTATTATATTCTAATGCAGTGGTGACCAACTACAGCCCGTGGGCCAAATCCGGCTCATGATCATTTATTAATCTGCCTAACAAAATATTAAATCAAAATTGAAAAAGAAATTTACTTCAAATTTCAAAAATTAACACACACATTAAAAAAAGATATGTTTATACTTAACATTTCTTATTCATTTATAACATCAATACATGGTCAATAATTAAATATATCACTGTACCAATATTAAAATGTACCTACAGTAAAATACAATATTTATTAACTTAAAAGTAAAAGTTTAAATTGTTGGCCAGCTAAGAATTATTTTTTTTTTTTATGGCCCTCTGTAAAATAAAAGGTTGATCATCACTGGTTCTAATGCATTAACATAAGTAAAGATATTTCATATTTATTTTTTAGAAAAATTCCGCATGTTCATCGAAAAAGACTTGATAGCAGTAGCAATGCAAAGTTCTCTTGAACAAGCTTCGAGATTAAATTGGTGGACAGGATTTTGCCAAAGACTTTGGCCTCTTTCAACATCTGGCGATGGAAACTGTCTCTTACACGCTGCTTCATTAGGTAAGTTGAACCAATAATGTATAATGTACCATTATGTTATGTATTATTTTAATATTTAATGAATAAAATAACATCAATTTTAAATTTAGAATAATATTTTGGCATACACTTTGTATGCATTATTAATATTACTTGTAACAAGTAGCTTTTTTTTTTTTTTTTCGGCGGGGGAATTAATATGTATTATCCGTTCTCTTGGCTCTTATGTTTATATTCAAATAGTTTTACAGGATGTCTTTTAACATGAAACAGCAATTTACTCTGAACATTTTTAGTGAACTTGATTACTGTTTTTTTTTTAATCATTTTTAATTTTTTACCCCTACTCTATATACCTTAAATAAGTATATACATTTGATTTTTAATTAGGAATTCCTCTTTTTGACCACATTCGAGTACAGAATATTTTTTTAGAAATTTTGATATTCACACTAATATTAGATTTACTATTTATGAGTTTTAGACCAGGGGAGTAGAGAAAGAATGATTATAAATTGAAAACCCTGCTCTACTCCTCCAGTCTAAAATTTTATAACTTATAATGATAAATATGATATTAGTATTATGCATACCAACATTCTAGGGGTTTGTTTTTTAAAAGTCTAAAGTAGATATTCAGTTCAGGTATAGAGTAGGGTTTAAAAAAATTTAAAATAGTATTAAAATAAAACTTAAATATTTCTATAACAAATAAAAACGAAAAAAAAAACCAAATTGAAAATTAAATTAATTTAAAATCCCCTGAAAAAATTTTTAGTTTATGTTTAAAGAATCACCATGTATCAGTATCATTATAAGGACTTTTATAGTAATTTTGTAAATATTAATATATAAAAATAAAATTATTTTTATATATATTTTTTATTTATATATTTATTAGGAGTATTAACCATTTTAATAATTTTGTTTTTACTTTATTATTTTATTAAATATTATAATATACACCTTCAGTATATATATAATAATATCATCTCGGTGTAAACGATGTTAACATTTTATTAGCAAATGTGGTTTTATCAATTGTTTAATTCACTCATAATAGTAGTTTTTAGAAAAGAAAATGTATAATATTGACAATTGACAATTTTAGCCAATTTTTATTTTATATTATTGAATAATGTAAATACATAAAAAAAATTTTAACCGAAAGACTATGGATCTGAATTAACCTTAAAATCACTATAATAAAATACATTTATTTTCTTCTCCTAAATACTCATAAATATCTTTTTATATAAGTGTATTAGTGTAATATTTTGTTTATGATATTTTAATGGAAGTAGTTACATACTTATTTTTTTATTAAAATTATATTTAATGAAATTTAATTGTTACATGTTCTAGGTATATGGGGATTCCATGATCGTTTACTAAATTTAAGACGAGCTTTATATTCATTTCTCAGCAACGGTCCAGCTCGACATTCACTTTGGCGACGTTGGCAACGACAACAAACTATTTTGAACTCTTTATTTGGCCTTGTATATACAGAACAAGAATGGCGGAGAGAATGGAATGCAATTGTGAACATGGCTTCCACTGTTCCTCGTATGAGAAAACAGAGTATATCAAGGTTTGTTATGACTTAATTTGGATTTTTCATTTTTTACTGTAATTTTTAAATAATAGTGGAAATGGAGATACTGAAGGATACATATATGAGAGCCTTGAAGAGATTCATGTATATGCTTTAGCACATGTTTTAAAAAGACCTATTATTGTCATAGCTGATACTATTCTTAAGGTGTGTTTATTTACTCTCTTTAATGTATATAATTATTATTTAAATCAAAAACTGTTATTATTTGTAGTGTTGAAAATTAATTTTTTAATCAATCAATTTAATCTATTCTATAGGACATGAATGGTGAAGCTTTAGCTCCTATACAGTTTGGTGGTATTTATTTGCCATTGGAGTGTTATCCGTGTGATTGCCATCGTTCTCCATTACTGTTGGCTTATGATGGTGGCCATTTTTCAGCTTTAGTTGCAATGGAAACACCAAATTCTACGCTTTCTTGTAAGTTTTTAATTTATTTTTAACATATACATTGTTTCAAGTAAAGTGTAAGTTAAAAATATTGATTTTAGGTGCTATACCCTTAGTAGATTCAAATGGTGAACTTTTACCTATTCAGTTTCCCATTGATCCTGGTGAAAATGATCATTCTCCTGATAAGAATCAAGATCTAACATTAATAGATTCATTGTCATTGTTAAATAGTTACTTGGACATTGTCAAACTTGATCCACAAGTATTTTAAATTAAAGGCTAATTATTTATTTTATGCTGATAATTGAGTTATTTGTGTATTTGTTTTAGGGCAACAATGATACAATTGGTAAAAATGGCCTTTTTGGTAGTTTAGGACGTTCAATGGGTAACAAATTAAAGTCAAAACTGTCCAGAACAAATTCTGTAAAAAACCTATCAGCTATATCTCAAGCCAAGTATACATGCTGTGCACTGATCAATGCTGATAAGAAACATGAATATCATGATGTTATGATTAAAAACTATTTAAGGACAGCAGCTGAAAGGTTTCAACATTCACCTTATGTAAGTTTCAGATTTTTTAAAAATATATATTCAAAAAGCTAACATTCAAAAAATGCCAGCTATTTTACAAATTACTTTTTACTGGATTGATTTTATAGCAAAAAAAAAAAAAATTAGAAAATTTATTAATTTTCTAATACATTCAATTCATAAAAATTATATATTTGTAAGTGGATAAAAATGTTTGAATATTCTAGAATAATTTAATTTAATATTAAAATGATGTTCTTTTTATTTTATTTTTTGTAACATTCATTATAAGATATAACTGGTTCAACACTATGCTATAAAACATTTCAGGCAGATACAGCACCTCGCTATGGAGCCGGAAAATCACGGTTTTACACCGAGGCTGATTCAGAGTCTCATATTAAAGTGGGCCAAATGACACCCGTTAAAGCTGCTGTCAATGAAGATCCCACAATGTACCTTTCCAAATCAACATTCTATGACACCAATTCACAGGTGGAAAAATGTCGTACAGACGATTGTGAGTTCTTTGGTTCAGCTGCAACTAAACATCTATGTTCAAAATGTTATCAGCAGTATCAGCAGCAAAAACCTGAACCTGCTTGATCTACATCAAGTATTTTTTAGACTAAAATGCTAAACATGGAAATTTTATTTCAACACAACATATACATATACTTACTTATGTTATTTTGCTACTACACCACATGTCTTTACTAAACATCACTTGATAAATTTTTAATTTATCTATATTATTATCACTTGTTCTTATTGCATATTAATTTATGTATTATTGTGATTTTTGTTTTTTTTTTTTAATGTGACCCCATAGTTACGTTTTTTCCTTTTTTATTTTTTCAGCAATTGAAAATTATATATATTTTTTAAATTTAGTTAAGATATTTTTCTTCTTTATCTTTAACTAGTCTTGAAAAATTTTTATGTTAAAATTTTCAGAACCATAGTGTTAAAGCAAAATAATATATTATTTCAATTCTTTAATTATTGTTATAAAATTTCATAAAGCTTATTAGTTACTGCTAATATTGTTGTAAAATACTATTATGTTATTACTGCTGTTTCTTTTTAAAATTAAATTTCCGTAATTTATAATATCTCAATTATATTTTTATGTTAATATATCATTTATTTTTAGCAACATCATGTGAAACTAACAATTACACAAATAAGTGTTAATAATAGACTGTATCCAATAAATATGTTTTTTGTTTAAATTTTTTAATTCATTGTCATTTTGAATTGCATATTTTATAATTTGTATAATTATTTATTTATTTACCAATGTTATATTTAACCGCGAACAGAAAAATTATGTAAAATGTATTGAAATGTATGTTGATTACGAATGTACAGATTTGTATTAATAGAATATTATGTATGTGATTTTGATGTTCAGAAAATAATGAAATATGCCATTGATTATAGAATATTACTATTCAAAACTAAATTAACTAGTGATTATAATTTTTGTTAACAAAATGTATGCATAAGATAATAATTGACTAATACCACTCATCACCTATTTGTTAAAGAAACCACAACAAAAGGAAAAAAATTACACATATTTATTTTAAAAAAGGCGTTCTTCTTTATCCAAATGATTTAGAATATAATATACATACAGCCTCTTGGGTACTATCCCCTAGCTCGCCGTCACTTGCACTGTTTCCGTTATCACCTTTACTCGCACAGGGTATTTTTTTTCCAAGTTTCATTTCTCATATATATTGTATGAGTAAATAAATTAAAACTAACCTAGATGTAAATAATTGATTTCCAAGTTTTATATATACCATTTATATAAAATAAAATTATTAAAAACTATTGTGAAAAAAAAAATCTTAATACAATCAATATATTTTATTGTTATATTATTATTTAGCCTATTTCGCATATCAATCAGGACACACTTTGATTAAATGATCATGTCATATTAATTTAACATGTGCAAACTTTTATTGTTTTGCAATCGTAAAAACAAAAAAACAAAATTGAAAATTACTCTCACAAGGATAAACTATTACCAAACACTGATGCCACACACCGAACACTTTATGCACTTCTACCAAGTGAACGAAAAATCAAGATAACAAAAAACCGGTTACATTTTATCTATAAACACATTATTCAAGGCTATAGAAATGTAGGAATATTTTTCGATAACATTCATAAAATTATAAATAAAAATAAGCTGGGGTCATTATTTACCCCGCGCAAGTGACGACGGGCTAAGGGTCATTTCCTAAACACAGTTAAACAGTAGGTTTGAGGAGGAGGGAGTTCAAATGCAGAAGGTGGAAAAAAAACAAATAATAAAGTTATTTTATAGTTGGGCGAGTTTTTGTTTTTGAATCGAGATCAAAAATTGTATTAAAATTTATCATTATCATGAAGTCTTATACTTACCTAAACTCTGTCCCATAAAAGAACAAGTTGCTAACTTCTCGATAGGTAGGATGGGACTGTAACGGTGCCGTTCGACGTTGACGGCAGCCAATTAGCAGACATGTGTGCACATTTATTTTTTTGTTTCCAATAAAACTATACGATTACACGACAAAGTCGAGTAGGTATCTGAGTAAATTCGAGCACCTACTCGAGTTACGAGTAGATACCAAAAAAAAAAAAAAATATAGATAACGAATACTCAACCAACTTTACTATTTTATTAGTTTACCTGAGGTTTCTTTATGAAAATAAAGAAATTATTGTTTGTTAAAAGTTTATAATTGATACCAAATGATTGAAGATTTTTAAGTCAGTAGACGAATATTTTATAAGGAATATGTTCCCTTGTAAACGTTTTGGCACGTACAACAGACGGCGTTTCTTCTCTAATCGAATTGGGATATGAACCATTATACATTGGGTTTACTGCTTAACTAAAAAAAGGCGTCCAGAATTTCATTGCTGTTCATTGTGTTAATAATATACATCACCAGCAATTGGCTGCAAAAAACTTGAGTTGAGTCAGCTAATGCAGCTACTTGGTCTTATCTAAACAAAAACGAACTTTCATTTATACAAAATTATAAAAGTTGTAAACGCAAGTTTAAAGCAAGTTCGCTCAGTGTTTTTGTATACGGCAGTAGGGTTAATTTAAAATTGAAAGATTTGAAGACTTGAAAGATAATTTAAAGCAATGAAAAATTGTGATCGGGACCTCACAGATATTTTTGAAAAACTTAATAAAGTCAACTTGAAGCTTCAAGGAAAAAGATCTGAAATGTATCAAGGCTAAGGGGATAATTTTATTATTCATTGCCAAGTTTGATTGTCACAAAAAAAAAAACAAATCACCAAGAACTGTGTTTCCGAATCTCAAAAGGCAAATGGTGCGATTCCTAAGGACAAAATTCAAATTTTCACAGATTATGTTTTGTAATTAAAAAAGTACATTAAATCAATCATATTTCAAGACCTACCCGAGTTACAAGTTTTTGTCTGAATCTGTGAAATACCTCGAACAATATTCACAAATGAAGTTTATTAATTTTGAATATCTACAACTGTAAGAAACAACTTGTTTTTATCGGTAACGAATTAATCAGGGTTAACTTTAAAAAAATGTATTCACAACTAACGCGAAAAATTAAGTTTTTGCGTCTTTCCTTCCTATCAAAATGTCTAGTTCAAAAGAATTCAGCGTTGTTGTTCAGCTTTTAATGAAACAAAAAAAATCAGTTGCATATTTGTAAGAGAGTGATTTGCATATAACCAACATCATAAGCTATGGCGCCAAATCTAATTTAAGGGGTAGGTACCTATACCTAATATAAGGAGCAGTAGACACAATGCAACAAATAATACAAACTAGTCTATTCCTAGACTGCTGTAACATATAGATAGGTACGTATAGGTACTATTTAAATACTCAAGTGTAATAAAGTGTTTGATTATTGATTTTGGCTAATCAAAAAAAATAATGTACTAATTTTATGTTTTAAAACTTTAGTTTTTAATTAAAATGACATCAAATAACTACACACATCTATAATAGCTTATTTTTCATCTAATTGGAATTGTATTTTTGTATTTACAGAAAAAAATTGAATGAACTTATTCTGGGTAGTTAGTGCACATTATATTATGTTATTATGTACTTCCTTTAACAAATTATTTTATCAGCAACATTTTCATTATAAAAGTAGACTTCTGGAATTACCTTTGTTTTTTTTAAACATAATTTTATCAAAACATATATTTATCTGTAATTATTACTAAAATAAATAACTAATAAGTATGAGTGAAATTTAATTATCAAAAATCATTTGTCTTTAGATGATATTCTTAGTCTATAGGAAGTGGTTCTCAATCATTTGATTCCATGCTTCCTTTCTAGATTTAAAAAAATCTCAGTCCCCTCTCCATAAATTGATGACTTTTTTTGTATATTTTACAAATAAATTACATACAATAACTAATTTTTTATTGATAATAATAATTATAAAATTGCTTGTGTCTCACCATTAATGTGTTCACGCCTCCTTATATGGGTGTGCTCCTTGTTTAGAAAACTATTTTCTAGAGTAAATATAATAATATGATAATTGTTCTTAGTAATAACAACACTTAATATCTAGTTAAATCATAAAAATGTAAACATAGTAACAATAAAAAAAAAAAAAATATAAACTTTTTTGTACATTATATGGAGGTATACGCAACCAATTATGTAGTGGATCTTTATTTTTGGATTTTAAAATATTGGTGGCATATCTATTGGTTCAATTGGTTTATTCATTGCTTTTGTCCTCAAAGCATTAGCAAATAGTTCCATTTCAGATACAATATCATTTACTCGCTTTCTTGTTTCAATTGCCAATTCAGGTGGAAAAGTCATAACTGTTGACGCCATTCTTTGAAAAAATAATTGGATAGGATTATTCTTACTATATTTTGCTTCTTTCATTTCTTCCATTATGGCTAATTCTTCTTGTTCTTCCCTTAATTCATCCTTTCCTTCTTGCATTCCGCTAAGTTTTTTAAATCCTAATTTTGGTTGATATTTAGTTTCAGGTGGCACATTAAGTGCTGAGCCAGTATTTTGTAAAATTTGTTCGGGATACATTTCATCACACTCTGTTGAATCAGTTTGATTGAAACTTTTAATCTGAATATCTGAGTAAATCAAACTGACCATATCTGAACTCGAAAATTTTTCACCAACTGAAAAATTTGATTTTTTTCTGAAATCACAAAAATATGCTCTCATTAGAAGATATTAAAATAAATAAATTTTGTTTTATATATTTCTAACTATCTGGTATTATATGCAAGAATAGCTTTTATATTAATTCAAATAATTTTTAGTGGTGTAGTGATACAGGGCGTTCAATTTAAGTGACTACACTCAATATTTTACTTTTAAGTTCAGTTAGTGGGAGAATAGTGGCACACTATAAAAACTCTGCATACCACAGCTCCATAAAAATTATATTTCCCTACTCTTCCCTTACCTAAACTTAAAAGTGGAATCTCTCATTAAGGGGTTAACGGAAAATTACAGTTTCAACACTAATATTTATTTTAACTAATACTCCACATTTAATGAAATTTTTAACATAGGTTGCGCCATTTGAAAATTAAAAGTAGATAGTTCACTCCTAAAAATAATATCAAATGTAAGATTGTATTTAGATGTAATTTTAGAGCTGTTAGTTTTTTTTAAATTAACAAAAAAAAGATTTTTGAAAAAATATCGAGTATGGCCATATAAATGAATCAGCCTGTAAGTATATTGAAGGAGAAATACTTTTATAACAAGAAACTAGAAAATATATAAATTTAGATTTGAATGATTTTAAAGTATTATACATTACACAATTATTATTAATTATTATCATGCTGTATGACACTCTATCAGTGGCTAAAGTATCAAGTCCACTCCATAAGCAAAACCTTAATTTAATTATTTTTTTTAATATTTAGATTCTCTATGTTTCCTGCTTTTAATTTATGGCTCTATATAATATATTATTAGCTGAAATAAACATTTTTTTGGACATACATATGTATATTTAGGTAACTATTTGAGTATATATAATTGAAATATAATGAAAAAGCATCAATAACTATCCAGACTTCTCATAAAAAAAAAATTTGAAATAATGAAACTTTAATTTCCATAAATTTATTAGTTTTCTATTCATTTTTTCCTTATAATTATGAAAACTATTTAGAAAACCATAAAAATACTTCTTTATGCATCAAATAAATCCAAAATGGTACAAAATTGGTCTCTTTATTTTTTGATTTGGTCAAGATTTTTGGTAGAAGTGATTATGATAAAAAAAAAAAAAAAGCACATATCCTAGTGAAACAAATCCATTCCTTGCTGCGCTCAGAATCTAAAATTATGTACTTGTATGTATTTTCTAAATTAAAATTAATTATTACAAAAAAACTAACTAAATTATTATTATTTACGTAGAGCACATGCGACAAGACATTGTATAATCTATAAATTCATTAAAATTAGATGCACATGATAAAAATATAATATAAGTAAAATATATACCTGATAATAATATAATTTTATAGGTAATAGAAGAGTATATATTTAGTTATTACAAAAACAAAACAGCCCTTATAAAATTCAATTGATATTTAGTTTAGGTACTAGGTAGATAATTTTATGATTTTATTTCATTCTGATAGTAATAATTATGTATTTATACCTTTTATCGTGTCGGATGTCAATTATAGAACTTAATGACTTGTTGTATTTTGATTTATTTTTAGCAGCTGAACTGGTACTTGATTTTCTTGTATTCAAGTTATTTTTATAAGATTCTCTAATAGCTCGCCAGTGTGTTTTGTAATTGTTCGCTAAAAAAAATTTAAAAAACTCAAATATAACAATCTACAATTTAAAGATTCTATGCTAAGTACAACAGAAAATTAAAGAATAGTAACTCAAATGTAACTGCCTCAACATATTTACAAGTTAAAAATTGTAGGATTCTAGTTATTTATTATACACCAAATTTGTTGAAGGATTTAGAAAGACTAAAATAAAATTGTAATTACCATTAGTCTGCGTATGAATGTCAACCAGATCTTGATAATGTAAATTTATATTATCTGTTGATGTAATAGGTTTAATCATAAAGCTCTTTTTTTGGCACAATTCGCACAAGTTTAAATACAACATAACTG